TTAAACACATAAATTTTGAAGGTCTAGCTACCATATTATTACCCACAAGGGTAAAGGAACAGTACCACTGCTGGATAATTGGAAAGTCCCGGTGTGTCAACCTCTGTGCTTCGTGGCAAGGTAGACTAGCAAACATGCCCAACCTGTACTCACATTCGAGAAAACACTCCCAACAAGATTGCTTGCTCCAAAATCGAAGAGGCACCGCCCTCCGAATCTCGAGAGCCAGACTCCCAACATGATTACTTTCTCAAAAATCGAAGAGAGGGTAAAGGAACAGTACCACTGCTGGATAATTGGAAAGTCCCTGTGTGTCAACCTTTTGTGCTTCGTGGCAAGGTAGACTAGCAAACATGCCCAACCTTTACTCACATTCGAGAAAACACTCCCAACAAGATTGCTTGCTCCAAAATCGAAGAGGCACCGCCCTCCGAATCTCGAGAGCCAGACTCCCAACATGATTACTTTCTCAAAAAATCGAAAGGAGGGGTAAAGGAACAGTACCACTGCTGGATAATTGGAAAGTCCCTGTGTGTCAACCTCTGTGCTTCGTGGCAAGGTAGACTAGCAAACACGTCCAACCTTTACTCACATTCGAGAAAACACTTCCAACAAGATTGCTTGCTCCAAAATCGAAGAGGCACCGCCCTCCGAATCTCGAGAGCCAGACTCCCAACATGATTACTTTCTCAAAAATCGAAGAGACACCGCTCTCCGAATCTCGAGATCCAGACCCCCAGCAGGATTGCTTTCTCAAAAATCGAAGAGGCATCGTTCTCCGAATCTCGAGAGCCAGATCCCCGACAGGATTGCTTGTTCGAAAATCGAAGAGGCACCACTTTCCCAATTTCAAGAGCTGGATCTCCTTGGATAAAGCTTGTCTGTAATCTTCACACGCAACATCAGCTTTCCAGATACCACAGACCACTTTTTCAAAGTGCTCTGACAGAGTTAAAACATGTGAAGCTGGCAGCTCCCACTACCGTGCTATAACCAAGCAGGGTAAAGGAATAGCATTATTACTTGATGTTAGGGAGACTCTTATATATGTCGACCTCCATCCCTAACGGACAGGCAGACCTGCAAAAATGCTCAACCCTTTCTCTTATCTGAGAGGGCACTCCCAACGAAGCCTTTCGAAATATTCAGCTTTCTTTCCCCCGATAATACCTCTGTAAACAAGCTATATTAGAGCAAGAATATTTCATATCATCAGGGTTAAAAGCAAGAGTATCCCATATCATGCTTTTTCCCTGTCTTTTCCTTTGGCCTTGTTCTTACCTGTAAGACAAGGAGAAAGAGAGCAATCAGTCAGCACTTGGAATCAAGCTTCCAGCCAGGAACTGACTGCCTGGAACCCCTTACCTGATTACTTACCTGGCATTGCTCTCGAGTACTCATCTTCAACATCTTATGCTTCCAGGGAAGATACCGCATCTGCCTGAGGAACAAATAGGGCAAGTGAGAAGGATACAAGGAAGCATGTGGAGACAAGCGTAACAGTACACGTGCCGATACATCCACTACTCTGTCAAAAGCAAAAGTATCCCATATCAGCAGGGTCGAACGTACTCTAGATTTGATGGACTTGTTTTGACCCTCAAATTCTTCAGTCGGCCTTATACTCTGGAGGAAACCATAAAACCCTCCAGCCCAGTTCAAGAATAAGCCTGTGGAAAGTTACTTCTTCAAAAGCAAAAGTATCCCATATCATCTCTCTCCTCACTTTTCTTCTCTTTATCCTTCATGCTGCCTGCAAGATAGGGAGAATGTGAACAATCAGCCGGAGCTCTGATTGCTTACCTTGTCTGTCACCTCTTTCAGCAGATCCCCTAGCTCGGCGACTTGGGGGACTCCTACTACATGGTTTGTATCGCGCTTGACCAAGCATGAAACTACAAGTAAGCTTCAAGTGAAATTGATACATTACCTTGTGCATCTCCACCAGTTACAGATACCACCCCTGGATGGAGGAAGAGTACTTCCAGAGAAGATGCCACATCTACCTATGAGACAGATAAGGCAAGTCAAGACGATACCACACTCCGGTACTTAGAAGTTTCGTGGCTACGAGATCATTCTCCCACAATATTTCCTAATGTCATTTGTACTAAATCATTCACTTGTACTCACTAAAGGAGAGCTTGAACCTATGTACTTGTGTAAACCCTTCACAATTAATGAGAACTCCTCTATTCCGTGGACGTAGCCAATCTGGGTGAACCACGTACATCTTGTGTTTGCTTTTGTGTAAACCCTTCACAATTAATGAGAACTCCTCTATTCCGTGGACGTAGCCAATCTGGGTGAACCACGTACATCTTGTGTTTGCTTTCCTATCTCTATCCATTTATATACTTATCCACACTAATGACCGGAGCAATCTAGCGAAGATCACAAAAAGTGACCGTTTTCGCTACCTAGGATCTATCTTGCAAGAGAACGGAGAATTAGATGGAGATCTCAAACATAGAATACAAGCTGGATGGATGAAGTGTAAGAGTGCATCCGGCGTGTTGTGTGACCGTCGTAGGCCACTGAAGCTCAAGGGAAAATTTTATAGGACGGCAATAAGGCCAGCGATGTTGTATGGCACAGAATGTTGGGCAGTGAAGCATTAACGTACACAAAATTGGTGTAGCGGAGATGAGGATGCTTCGTGGGATGTATGGGCACACGAGAAATGATAAGATTGGGAATGAGGTTATCCGAGGTAAAGTAGGAGTAGCCAAAATTGAAGGAAATATGAGAGAAAATCGGTTCCGGTGGTTTGGACATGTGCAAAGAAGGCCTACTGACGCTCCGGTTCGAAAATGTGACTACGGGACAGAGGTTCAGGGCCGAAGGGGTAGAGGAAGACCTAGGAAAACTTTGGAAGAGACCCTAAGAAAAGACTTGAGTACTTGGATCTAACGGAGGACATGACACAAAACCGAGCGCAATGGCGTTCTAGGATTCATATAGCCGACCCCACTTAGTGGGAAAAGGCTTTGTTGTTGTTGTTGTTGTTGTTAAACAAGAAGAATGATTCATTTCCAGAGTATTAATCTTTACAGTTATTAGAAGCAAAAAAAGGAGATAAACATACCACTATCTCATCATTGAGGGATTCCCTTTCCTCAAATGTCTTGTCAAGGGTGATTTTCCCGATAGCAATACGCATGGTAGTCTGTGCAAGCTGAATAGCTGCATTAATAGGATCGTCAACTCCATAGGAGGCCAACATAGGATCCACAATCTGCACCGGCACAAGAAATAATCGAAAAGAAGCTCTCAGGAACCCAGTAAACAAACATACACACAAACCCAATTCGAGAATGTGATATTACCCTAACGTAAAGCACACCATCAATCATAAGGGCGACATTGTCTTTGGTAATGGCAGACTGGTCAGGAACATTGATGACCTCTTCTTTCAGTGAATGCACATAAGCGATTCTATCCACAAAAGGAATTAAGAAATGGATTCCAGAAGGCAGAGTCTTGACATACTTTCCGAACCGCTCAATCACAAAGGCCTTCTTCTCAGGCACAATCCGAACGCCCCAATTCTTGGGAGGCGTAATCCCATAGTTTCTACACATACAGCCCGAAATAACTCACTCAGACGCACAAACTCCTCGAACCCATGATTTCAAAAACCACAAAAACGCAAATCCCAAATCAAATCTGCAAGTCATTTCGGATTACCAATAACCCACCAACCCAATACACACAGGAGAGCAAATTACCTGAGATCGCGGCTGCTCCGGTAGTTCCGAATGGCGAGCAGATTGTGCGACGGTGCGAAGGGAAACGGCGACGGAGAGGGGGAGAGAAGTGGGTTCGACTGTTTGAGGATTAATGACGAACAGGAGGTGAGCGCTCTGACGCCGGCAGATTGGGAAGCGTGGAGGTGCCTCAGAGCTCGCAGCGAGCTGAGGGAATTGAGCTTGAACATACTCATCTTCTTGGCTCTTGGGCGGATTTCTGTGGCGGAAGTAAGAATTTCAATGGAGGGCTTTACAGAGGCGAAGACAAAGACGAAGACGAAGGCGAAGGGTTTTATAAAGCCCTTGTCTTGTTGGAGGATCAAATCTAACTACTCTTTCCCATCTTTCTTATTTTCTTGCTCTCCAAGAACAATTCCGCTATTTTCATCTCTTTTTATTTTGTTTACTTTTCGTTTTGACATGTAAATGTAATTAATTGCGGTATTTACCTGAAAATTTGCTTCGCCAACAGTATTAGTATTACTATTAACAACACGATTAATCCTAATCTAATGTTTTGTCCAAGAGAAATGTAACGTACTCTCAAAGTGGTACTTTCTATATAATTTTTATCACATCATGTTTTTGGTAGAGTATTTTATTGATACAGAAGTGATGTTAAACTGTGATGTGATAAAGAATTTATAAAAAGTCTCAAAAGAAGAGAGTGTCACTAGTACTTCTACTTGTTTAATCATCATTATTAGGCTGGTTTTGTTGGACGGGTCTTCCACACGAAGCTCTCAATCAACGCTTGTAGCAAAGCTTAAATCGTGTAAGAGCGTTGATTGAGAGCTTCTTAAGGACTAAGCTTTGTTACTTCAATAATTATACAATACAACCGATTGCAGCAAAAAATTTAGATCAACAAGCAAAACCTAGTCTGCAAAAATAGAGATGGAATGTTTGTTAATGATCTAGACAAGGAAAGTAGAGAGCCGATGAAACGTGTTGGAGCATTGATTGAGAACTTTGCGGGGAAGACCGTAACTGTTAAAGGTTGGGGGAACGAAGGAGGAGGGAGGAGGGAGAAAGGAGAAAGAGAGGACTAGCAAAAGATACAACGTTGATGGTATCTTAAACCAATCATATGCTGTCACGATGGTGGTATCTCTCCTATCATCGTAGCAACATTATTGCTCAAGATTGGCAATTGGCATAGATGGGGTTGCACATTGCAGCTCAACTCTTCCAAACTCAAAAATCTAATTAGCACATCTTATCACATCCATACTAATAGACCAGCAATTATAATAACAACAACCAAGTTTTATTCCACTAAATACAGTCGGCTGTATGAATCCTAGAACATTAATGTGCTCGATTTTGCGCCAATTGCAATTGTGTGTGCCTTACAAAACATATTGACTACATATATGAATAAAAAAGGTCGTACCCAGTGCACAAGGCTCCCGCTTTACGCAGGGTCTGGGAAAGGTGAATGTCGGCTAGCCTTACCCCCATTTATGGAGAGGCTGCTCCCAAGTCTCGAACCCGAGACCTGCCACTCATGGGCGAAGGCACTTGCCATCGCACCAAGTGCGACCTCCTAATATGAATGAAGCACATAATATTGCTAATTGGTTTCACATTTGCAATTTCATTTGAAAGAAGCACAGGAATAACCAGTGCAAAGGGCGCCGGTGCTGCTGTAAGGGAAGAGAGAAACCGGCCGACTCGGCGGCAACTCGGGGATTTGTCTCTCCATGCAAAGAAACTCCACCACTTCCTCCATGCAAGGCCTACCTTTGGTCGCATTCAGAGTGCAGAGCAACCCTATTTGCATAACCCTAATTGCTTGCTCCAAATTTATCACAGTGCCCATCCTCTTATCCACTACCCTCACCATCTCATCAATCTCATGCATTCTCCATGCAAAATCCAACAGATCCCTCTCCTCCAATGGCCCCGAATCCGCCTCCAATCGCGGCCTCCCACCGACCACTTCCAACACAAACAGACCAAACTCGAAAACATCCGCACTTTGGCTCACTGCGGACTCAAACCTTCTTGATTCTGCACCACTTAGCACAAACCCGAAATCGCCTAAAACAGCCCGGAAACTGACGTCAAGAAAGACACTAGTTGTCTTCAAGTTCTTGTGGGATAATTGCTTGGAGTGCAGGAAACTGAGGGCGTCAGCCACATCTTTCACAACCTTGAACCGCCGCGTCCACGGAAGGACCCCCACCCCAAACAACCATTTATCAAGGCTTCCATTGGGGAAAAACTCATACACAACCATGGTTTCCTTCTTGTCTTGACACCACCCTCTGATTGGAACCAGATTCGGATGCCTAACCCGGCTAATCCCCTTTATTTCCTTGAAAAGTCTCCGCCTATCTAGCCCTTCCGAGCTCAAAAACAGAGAAGAAAACCGCTTCACAGCCACTTGACAACCATTCAAAAGCTTCCCTCTATAGTACACGCCTCTTTCGCCGCTACCAAGAATTTCGTACTCGCTGAAGGACTGAGTAGCCAAGGAAATTTCGGAGATTGTGAAGTATCGAGGCTTGTTCGGAGGCCTCGGTCTCTGCGTCTTCTCCGGCAACACAACGGGAGTGTCTGATATTCCGGTGGTTTTGCGCCTGCCGCTATAGTACAGACTAACCACCACAGCCAGAGCCAAAACCACCACAGCAATGAAGATTAAGAAAGTCCCGCGAGGCTCAGCGCTCGCGGCACTACTTCCTCTGCCAGTCACAATTATGTTACTCTCGCACGCTTCCATCGACGGCATCCAGAGAAAAGCTTGACTAGTGGAGGTGAAGTTCCACGAGAGGACGCTGTGGATTTGCGTGTGGTTTCCCGTTGAAGCAGAGAATCCGACAAACATGTACTCATTGAGAAATGGTGAGAGATCCAGAGGGCCAGAGAAGATTGGTTTTCGTGGCGGGTGATTAGTACTGTCTTCTGATCCTAAACGAATTTCCATCCAACGGTTCGGACCATCGTAGCTAATCCACGCTCGGTGGACTGAGCCGTCGTTGAGAAATACACCAACGTCGGATGCGTTGATTGTTTCGGTGGAGACAATTGTTCCCAAGTTGATTCCAACATGGTTGTCATTCGGGTCTCCGAATTCAGGGTTGAGGCGGGTGTCAAACTCGACTGCAACCGCCTTGTAATCATCCTCGCAAGCGTCGTTAAGCATGGCGAGCCACGGGCCAGGCCTTCCGACAGTGAACTCGTCAGGGACAATGATGAAGGTGAGGCCACTACCACCATGATCAGAAGCGTTTAAATTAGAACCGTTGTGGAATTGGAAAGAAAATGTTGTTTGAAAAGAAGCAGGAGACTGAGTGTGAGGGTCGAGGAGTCGGATGGGAGAGGAGTAGAGGGCTCGGCCTGCTTGCTGTCTTAGATGATGGATATCATCGCCGCCGTTGACGTCGGAGTACTGATCATGATCATCGGGGATTTGTATGGCTGACGATGAGCTTGAGATTTTGGCACTGCCTAGGAGCCTTACATCTTCCAAAACTCTGGGGTTTTTGACAAAGTTAAAATCTTGGAAATTGAGATGCTTCGTCACGTTAACAACAGGTCCATTAAAATGGTGCTTCTTCTCACTACCTTGAACAAGAACAAGATAAGCCAAGCATGTCAACCACAAGAAGTAGTACTTGTAGGTGCAGCAACCCATTTCCGCGGCGGCAAAGAAGTATTCCGATCAGGTTTCCACCGTGCAGAACGTCGCCGGAAATCGTCTCACGAAGTTGGAATCTTCGGTCGAGCACGTCTCTCTTAGAAGGGTGAAGACAAGTGAGTGAAACATTTGGGTGGACAAGCTTGAAGTAGTAGCACTTATTGTGATAAGTACGTAAGGACATTGGAGGCCTACATGGGTGGCTTTTTCATTCGTTTAATTATTGATCGATCATTGACAGATACTGGCAAATATGCGGGTAAGATACACAAGCAAACAAGTTAATCTAATTGATTAGAACGCATCGTGGTGCATTTTTGCGGTGATGATCATTCTCATTAATTATCGTTAGATAAGTTCAAATTTCGAAATTGTGCCTTAATCTATTAAACTACCAAATTAATCTAAAGCAATCAATGGGTGGTGGGATTATGATAGCTATTATATATATCACACCCTTTTCTATAAATGGACTCGTTTGAAAGTACTTTTAAAATGATTGAAAATGTTTTTTGAATCAATTTTTAGTAAAAATGAAAGTGAATTTTGAAAAAACACTTTAGGGTTTCATGTAAGAAACAAATAACTGATGTTTCTTTTAGAAAGTATATTAAATGCTTTTGAAACCAAAAACATTTTTTTTTTCTGAAAGCACTTGTAATCATTTTAATTGCAATTCCGAACAAACCTATATATTTCTAGAGTTGTCTTTGGCTAAATGGAGAAGGATTATGATAGTTAATCAAGTGGATCTATGAGAATATAAAAAAAATTATTCTTTTTATTGCGGCGAGACATTTCTACCTAGAATTTTTCAGCTACGATGGAGATGGCTTTTGGGTCCACGGATGTGATGTGCTTAATTATGTTCTTTTTTTTTAAGGGAGAAACTTTATTTTATTACAAAAACACACTTACAACAAAGGCCCAACACACACAAGATATACAACCAAAAGAGGCCTAAAAACTAAAGGAAAACAGAAAAAAGCCCAACAAAAGAAGGGCCCAAACACCACACAACTTCCGCGAGAAAGTTCCACAGCCTTCTCCACCCTCTGAAACAGGTCCACCGCCTGAGCCCCCTTCACCGGCCAGCAACGCCGCCACCCATGCCATCTCCAACCACAAATTGTTGCACGAGCACAGCCATCGACAAAGGATAATCGGCAGCCAAGAGAGCAAAGCCGACTATCAGATTGAAATTCGCGGATACCCACGAACAACGCTGTCACTGACAGATTACAAAGAGAAAGTGGTGGTGGTTGTACCACCCGAGCCGGAGCAGAGGCCGGAACTCTACACACAATCTCAGAAAACATGGCTGACAACCGGATCGAAGATAGGCAGGGAAGAGGGAAACCTTCCAGAGGAGAGGAACAGCGGAGACCAGAGAGAAAATTGAGAAGAGAAAACTGTAGAAGCAGGGAGAGAAGAAAGAAAAGACCCTCTGCTCAGACTTCCTTCCACAGCCACCAATTTTTCATTCATTTTTTTTGGCGGTGTCATTCGCATTCTCATTTTATCTTTTGTATATCTCTTAATTCTTGGTGCTTAATTATGTTCTTTTCCCTCTACTCAAACTTCCTTACTAGGCCACCAATTTTTCATTCATTTTTTTTTTGGGCGGTGACATTCGCATTCTCATTTTATCTTAGGAAAACTAATGAAAAGGGTTTGAAAACTTTGAGTTTTAACCATAAGGATAAAATAAAGAGTAAAATGAATAGTACCAGGTTTGACTTTTTAATGTAAAAATGTGGTTTTTCATTAAAGTGAACAGTACCGTAAGCTTTTCGTTAAAACTCTCTTTTATCTTCTATATACCTCTTAATTCTCGGTGCTTAATTATGTTCTTTTCCCTCTACTCAAACTTCCTTCCACGGCCACCAATTTTTCTTTCATTTTTTTTTTGGTGGTGCTATTCACATGCTCTTTTTATCTTCTGCATACCTCTTAATTCGGTCATCAGATCTAATAAATCGAAAATAATCAAATGACAAAAATTAACAAAGCATGTGAGATAAAATAAGGTGTATGAGTAGCACCATCTTTCTTTTTTAGTTCTTTGTCGCGTTGTTGTAGACCGCCAAACCATATAAACAATAAAACAAAGGAAATATTATCAACGAGATATTGGTAGGGGCACAAATCGCATATACGTATAGTAAATAATAGCACCAATAATTCATCTAAATATTTTGATTAGGCATAACTACTTAGTGCATGCTTTCGTTTTTTGGCATCAAGAGGAAGGGTGAAGTCCTACAAATATTTCGATTTTGGGACACTCTTTTGTGAAGAGTTGCTTATACGGAATAAATTCATCGTCACATGTGTCTCGATCTAACCCTGAGTTAACTGATATAGAATACTACACTAGTTATAAACTCGTTCTATATAAGTCATTCTCAACTTAATAATAAGACGTCGTCAGTAATAATTCATCAATGACTTTCGAATCTTGTGAAACAGCTGGTCTTCTCGACCGATAGCCATTAGTACTCATTAGTTTCAAAAACAAAAATTTAGAATCAAGAAGTTTATCAAACCTAAATTTACCAAATGAACAAGTGATGGTCGGGTTGTGTATGTGGGGAGGTCCCGTGATTGGGAACTTGCACAGAGCTCGGTTCTGTGAGCTCGTCAACAAGTTCATGCTTTGTGAAGGAACAAAAGTTATCACCCAATATATTTAGGTCCAACAGAAAACCAAAACCTAATGAAATATTACTTTTCAACACAAAATTATCGAATACAAAGTCAACCAAACTTATATAGTCGTCCACACGAACTCTCGAACAAAAGGAATAACTAGCCAATTCGATGAAGAAATTAAACTACATCAGAAAGTACGCAAAAACAAACACCCTTCATTCATCTGTAAGGATGGTTCCCCTCTCGCTCACATAGATACCATCAAGAAACTTCCTGATATCCTTGTTCTTGACATGGCATTTCTGTCGAAACAAATACAATATGTACATTATCAGCAAGTGAGCATAGCATTATACATGATAAATATTATGTCTGCATAGAGAGAGAGAGAGAGAGAGAGAGAGGGAGAGATAAAAACTAGATCAATAGAGTGGGGAGAGAGGGGGGGGACCTGGTTGATCAGGGCACAAGACCGAGAAACAAGCTCGATATCATTTCCATCCAAGATCAGCTCATCCTTGACCTTCTCAGATCGGGTGATGGAAACACCATCAAGCATATCCACCTTTCTCACCTGATTGAGCAAGCACACAAATCATCAAGACGAATAGACTAGAAAGCACAACGTTACCAAATACTAAAAGTTGTTTCACGTTTAAAAGGTAAAAACAGTTTAACCTAACCTATGACATATTCATTGATAATATACAACCGCAATCTGCATTCAGACACAAACTTTTCATTTCTCATAACCATGTCATTCGGCTCTTTATATTCCCATGAAATATTGCCAACACCTTATTGCATTCAAAGAGGGCAAAAATCACCAAAGTCTAGCAGAAGAATGAATGTAAATGGTATAATCCTAATTGGACCTAAATTAAGAGTACGGGCTACTACCCCTTGGACTTAACATAAAACACGAATCAAGCAATAACCAGAAACGGACACAATTCTACAACAACAATAGGAAAGATTCATTCTTTTGGTGTCAATTGCCATGGAAAATGTCGATACGCTATATTCAGGGACTACATTACATATGCCATCTTCAAGAACTAAATTACACCGATGACAGTGTGGACTACAATATCTAAAGTTGCCTTATGCATTACACGTAACCAAGTATTCAGTCGAACAAAAATTAAGTAATCACGACAAGCATGCCCAATCTAAACCCAAACCCGAAATAAAAAGCCTACCGTTACCACAGTTAGTGCAATTCGACAACATCAACAGGAAAATAATCATAAATCTCAGCCTACAATCGCAATGAAATCTCACATACAAAATCGACTTTCACAAATCAAACAGTTGCAACAAATCATTGAGCAAACAAAACCCAAAATGCACAACAAACAATCAAACTCCAATAACCACAAAAACAAATCAAACCCAGTTAAAATCTGGCAAAAGGGTGCAAAAAGGTACCTTCTTTTCACCCAAAAAGTTACGGATCTCGATCGCCTTGGCCTCATTAGTGATGGAGGCATTGATGGGAAAATGAGCATACACGAAACGCATCTTGTAGCGGTACCCCTTGGTGACTCCGGTGATGAGATTTCCGACGTGGGAGAGGGCGGTGCGGATGGCGGCGCTGGTTTTGCGGGTGCCGAACCAGGCCTCGACCTTCAGCTTCCGCTTTCCGGTCTCCTCGTCGGTGACGAGCTGAAAGTCCAAGTTCAAGTGCTTGAAGTTGCGGATGAGCTTCCCGCGAGGACCTTCGACCTCGATCATCTTAGCGTGGACCTTGATCTTGACACCGTCGGGGATGTCCATGGTCTCGGAGGAGAGGATGGTCTTCATCTCCGCTGCTCTGGTTGTTTATCTCTCTCTCTCGCTCTGCGGCTCCGGTTGGTGTGTGAGTGTGATTTGGGCGAGGCAGGAAACCCTAACCTCTTGTCAAATGTATATATAAGAATGTTAAACCCTAGGACTTATTCTTGTAATGGGCCGGGCCGATCGTAGCTCAAAGAATGAAGGTGATATGGACTTGGGCTTGATTTTTAAATTATAGTACAAGATGGGCCTGTCAAGTTAAGAAAGTTGGTGTGTCTATTGATTAGGTTCAAGTGGTAAAGGTTTTGGGCTCTTCCAAAATAGTAAAATTATTCACGGCCCATTTGGGATTGGCTTCTCGAAACTTTTACTTGCGAAAAAAGAAAATTATTGAAACTTTCTTGAAAAAGAACAAATGCTTCCCTGATTCATTAGCAGTTTCATGTTTTTCTGTGAAACACAATAAAAATTTTAGCGAGAGCTCATTATATCTCATTAGAAATTTAAATTAAGAGAAATTTTAACGATTTTTGCACTAATATTTGTATTTGGACATTTTCACTTCTTCACATGATTCGTGTTATTTTTTTTTTTTACACAAGCTGACCTTCACCATTAATTTATAGCCAAAAACATGAAAGGTATCCTTTTTTGGAAAGGGATCATCTCTGGATCCATTTCCACCAAATCCACCTAGTTGGATCTGGACCGTTGAAATTTGATCCAACTGCTACAAACAGGGGGCCATTTAAAAGTTATAATAACTGTTGCCGTTAGATCAAAATTCAATGGCTTGGATTCCATACTAAGTGAATTTGGTGGAAACTTTCCTCGTTTTTTATGTAAAAGAATTGATATGTGTCATTTAAAGAACTAAAAATATTTAAATACAAAAGTTGCAAGCACTCCCGTTTAATTAAATGACAACGCAATTTTTTTTTCTGTTGGGAGTGTATCATTTGAATTAAATTAAAATAGTGTTCATGAAAAATTAGTGAGTGAGTTTGTTTGAATAAATTAGAGGTTTTAGGGACTAAGCTGCATATCAATTTTTTTTTTCTCATCGTATTAAATAAATTATAAATGAATTAAGGAACACAAATAAAATGAATTTAGAGCTAAAAATATGAGAGTGCAAATATCACCGCTCTAGAAAACTGATACGAAAATCTTCTGAAAAATCGAAGAGTTTACAATGGCTCATATTAAATACATACTCTAAGTGGGTCCCAACCAGAATGATCATTTCATATAAGAAATTAAGAATTGCACATATGAAGAGACATTCGTGATTCAATCGAAACTAGTTATGTAATTTCCAAGATATCTAGCAGTTTGACCAACTTATGAGATTGAATTTGTGGAACTTTTTTGTTTTGGTTTTTTTTCTATGTTTCGCACGAACATGTTTGGTTGTGTTCTTTTTTTCAAGTATTTCTTTAATTTTTAGGGACTGGTTATCAAATTCAAATTAATTAAAAGAAGAAAATAAGGAATACAAGTGTTATGTTTTGATTTTCAATAAAGGCTACCTGGACGATATCTCATAGTAGCTTTAGCTCTATACAATGTGTTTGAACTTTCCCACATAATAACGTGTCGCCAACTAAAAAACAACGTCATGATCGTGTCTTAGTTGCATAGTTCTTCTCGAGAAGTGTTGGATTTATTGATTAAGCATCAAAGCTGATATGTTTTATCATAGTTTGGTATTCGATATTCTTGTTGCATGATTAACAACACACACTGTCAGAAAAGGGCAGGGCACTGATAAGAGCCATCGACGTACAAAGGCTGAGAGCGTAGTAGCATTGGCTGTGACTGATTGACACAGAGAGGTTCCTAACGACGAATATCTATATGGCATCTGTACCCATCTGTGAGGGACACAGACTGACCTAATTCGATTTTCCATTTCCTATGTGCATTTCCATTCATTTCTTTCCTTCTTTCTCTCTTTGGAACAATGTGTTTTGGGAACCATCGCACCGTACAAATAGTCAATCGTACTCTCACTTCATGCATTGTCGTTTGATTCTTCTCTCCATACATTGATATCATCAATCAAATACAAAGTGAGTCATTGAGACCAGTTGATTAAGGTAGTGTATCCAATGCTTTGCAACTTAGTTTGGTCCATCACGTACATAGAGGTCATCAGGTTTAGGCACTATTTTAAAAATTTCCGCCTAGCACCGCCTAGGCGTCAAGCGGCTAGCCATTGTCCTGATTAATGCTTAGACGTTTGAAAATTAAGAAAATACACATTGACCTGCTGAGGTGCTCGCCTAGACTGCCTAGAGACCTGCCTAGGTCACAACTCACTTAGACAGAAAATATATCACTTTCATTTTGCATTTTATTTTTTTAATAAATTGTAAGAAACTTGTTACATACTTAAATGAACACACATTATATTATTGTTCCTCATGTTTTCATTATGTTTCAATACTTCATAATTTTTTTGTCATTTTATTTTGTAGTTTATGATGAAGTTATATATATCGAGCAGTGTTTTCGGCCTTTTGCACTCTAGTTCGACATCATCAGATATATAGAGAGCTGTTAAGGTATTGGCCCGTTGGTAAGGCCGCGTGTCTGACTTATCGCCTTCTAAATACGAGAGAGCTATCAAGAGACTAGAGAGACAGGCATGGAAATGGGGTTTGTGAAAAAATGGTTCAAGTGGTCACAGCTAGTGTTGGCCATGTTGATGGTGCAGATATTTGTGACAGGGATGCAATTGCTTTCCAAAGTTATACTGAGTGAAGGAACCTTCATTTTGGCACTCATCACGTACCGGCACATATTTGCCGCCATTTGTGTCGCCCCTTTCGCCTTCTTTCTTGAAAGGTTTTTGTTCTTTGCTAGCCCACATTCTTCCTGTGATTTCTCGTGTCTTTTTCTTTGCATATTCTGAGTGTTTTTTGTGGCATTTTTGTGCAGAAAGAAAGAAAAAAAGTTAGGTTGGTGTGTTTGGTTCTGGCTCTTTGTCAATGCCTTAACTGGGTAAGCCTTGTTTGGTATTGTTTGATTTTGCATGGAGTTTGGTATTGTTTGATTTTGCATAGAGTTTGGTATTTGTTATTTCAAATCACTTGAAAAGTGGAAATTCAAAGATTAAATGCATTCCTTAGAAGTATGGCAAAGAACCTAATCACAACAAATGTAAATTGCACAAAAGTAGTCTACTTCTTCATATGTATTGATCGAACTGCAGTATCACAATAGCAATGGGATTGTATTACTACGGCCTTCGGGACACCGCGCCTGCATATGCCACCAACTTCCTCAACTTAATTCCGGTAGCTACTTTCGTGCTCTCCATCGTAACCCGGTAGATATCTACATTTGTGATGGAAACTCCATAACCGAAGTTATTTCCGCGTGTCCCTTTTTCGTTAGCAATGTGTTTAAAAAGATGTTTCTATTTTTATGTTTGAATGGTTGTAGCATAGAGAAACTGAACCTGCAAACTAGGGCAGGCAAGATCAAGACTCTTGGGGTAATTGTATGCGTGGGAGGGGCCATAACTGCGAGCCTTTACAAGGGAAAAGCGTTTTATATGTGCCAGCACAGTAATCACCCTCATCGATACACTGTCAATACATCTGACGCTCATTGGACTCGCGGCACCTTCATGCTCGCGGGTAGCTGCCTGTCCTATTCTGCGTGGTTCATAGTCCAAGTATGTATTCGAAATTGACACTAAGTTCTCTTTTGTCACGGTGATTAACGATATTGCAAACCTGTTTGATATTTGTATCTTTCTCAACAGGCTAGGTTTCTGAAATTATTCCCTTTGAAATATTGGGCAACAATGTTAATGTGCCTCACGGCAGCCGTGCAATCAACAGTCATAGGCTTATGTATGGACAGACGGGCAGCTTCATGGCGGTTAGGGTGGAATTTGCAACTCGGTACTATAATTTATTCGGTAAGCTGAATTGGTTTGTTCTCTTGGTTGAAATATAGGATAAGTTGTAGGCTAGCTGCATACTAAACGAAGCAAATTAAATTGCATAGGGAGCACTAAACACAGCTGCAACATTCTGCTTACTTTCATGGGCCATCTCAGTCCAAGGACCTCTGTATCCTCCCATGTTCAACCCATTGTCTCTAATTTTGGTTGCCTTATCGTCAGCTCTCATACTCGGCGAAGAGATCAGAACCGGAACGTATGGTTCATATGGTTTGTTAAGTATTTTTTGTATGTCAAAATTTTGTTACATTACGCCAAAAATGTCAATCAAATACTTTGCTTGAACTCAAATTTGTGCAGCTTGTTGGGGATGGTTATGATCATAGTTGGGCTGTACTCATTTTTGTGGGGTAAAAGAAAGGAGAGGAAAGCCTCAGCTTTGCCAGACTCACAAGCTCAGCCAGAACCGGCAAAAACAAACGATGAGCCGGCCGCCACAGGGTCACAATTGACAGCTGTTGTAATGCCGACTACTTCACCAGTTCACTATCACGGAGGTGGCGTTTGAGAGATGTTGGAGGAAGTGGTGATAAACACAGAAGAAAAAGCCTAGGGATCTCAGGATTCTGTTTCAAATGAGATCGATTCCCATAACTAATTTTAAATAAAATGGTAAGTAAACTAAATTTATGTCAAGATTTAAGAGAGACAGACATCTGACGCCATTAAGAGTGGAACAATTCGTTATATATCGTAATTTATCTTGTCAGTTCACGGGCGTAGGATTTTGTATTCTTAAACTATTTATGCATCTCAAAACATTATGTAAGGAATCAACATACAAGAAAATAAAATTAATTAGTACATAAACTTAGGAAAGCATCTCTAACAATTTCATGAACTTCTGATGAGTTAAGAGCAATATAACAGTAAACTAACTCCTCCATATCATTCCAATCACAAACGCCCTCGGACTGAATCATCTCCCGTATCGATTCTCTTATATCAAAAATGGGGTCTTTACTGTGCTTGACCACACACACACTACCTGCAAAAACACCACAAACATCTTCAGGCAAGCTTGCTGAAAGACTGATTCTGTTATTCCATCTTTGCTTCTCTTTCTTTTCTCTCTTCTCATTGTGTTCTTCGGTGACATACATGGCTCCTGTATAAAAATTCTTGGAACGAAGCTATTGAGTAGCCAGCAAGAAGTTGACAATTTGTAGTGGCATTCAGTCACTGCGAGATATGAGTTAATGCAGCTGCTGCTACTTGTGAATATAGAGCAGGCGCCAAATGACAAATCATGTGAAGATTTTAATGGATTGGCAGCAAGGCACAAATATTCAAATTTCAAACACCTGTATGATAAAACTGAGTGCAAACTTTTGCTTCAAGCATCTCCTAAATCCAACATGCTCAATCGTAAAACTAACAAACGACCTTGTTCTGCAACTTACGGAGTGTAATAACTAACGTCTTCAAGACCAGCGCATTAAGTAGTAAACTCTTTATTGCACGTTGTGTCTCATGAATCATGATCTCCGTCAAATTCAATAACTTCAACCACCTTTAGATGCGACAAGAAACAGTGAGGCACAAGTCTATATCATCTTGATCTAACGGAAGATGAAATCCCTGATTGATCACCATAACAAGATAAATTAATTTCACTTTTAAACACGATAACAGACGCTAGAATAACCAATACTACAAGCTTGTATATTTTTGCAGAGCTTGAAGGCAATGAGAGCTTTGTAATCAATGTTTTCTGTGACATCTAATGAAGAAGGAGAAATTATGCAAGCCAATGTTTGGATTGAGCTGCCATATGTATTGATAGGATTTTTAGTACCTGCACAAAAAGGGTTAAAAAATCACACAAAATACTTCCAAGAGAACAAGGTAGTTGTAGTAAAAATATTCATGTAAAGTATTGTGCTTAGGATTAGAATGGGTTGGAGGAAGTTAAGCAAATTTCTAGGCCCTATTATTTTGTGAAGATCACATATTGTAATGTCTCAATTCTTAACTTTAGAGCAGTTCCATCGGGAACTGATAGGACAGCACCCAACCAAAAAACCAGCCCGGCACCCAGGCTATCCACTCCAGCCTAGCATTTTGACCAGCACCCAACCCAAGCCAGGCAAGAGATCGGCCTAAAATCGAAAAACCCACAGTCGGGTCATCTGATGTCAGTCGGGCCATCAACCTCCCGCACAATCAACGCGTCGTAGAGAGATCTTGGTGCAGAGCTCCTCAAGGCTGAGGTTGAAGAAGGCCAATTTGCAGGCGGAGCAAAGGGCGATGGGGATGGGGGTTTGGGGGCCTTCGATGCCCTCCTCGAGGCTGAGGTTTATAGAGAGAGAGAGAGATAGATCCCTTCCACTGTGTTCTTCCCATATCCCTTCATCTTGTTAATGGGTTTCTTTCTTCTGCACATTGGAAGGGAGCGGTAGGGGAGCTTCTGAGGCAGAGACAGGGGAGCGGAGCGGAGATGCATTTGTTAAAAATTAAATTATTATTTTATAATAAAAATTAATAATATTTTAATAAAATTGACTAGGCTATTTGGTTTTAGGGGTGGAGATGCTTTAGCCTATTACTGTTCACTGGAGTATATTACTGTTCACTTGAGTGGATAAATGGGTTGTGTGCTAGTGCAAAGTCTTTAGGGGTGGAATTGCTTTCATGGTTTTTTGTTTTTGAGGATTATTCTGCACCATTTTCTCCAGCACATTTGAGACACTCCAACCCCATTTTTATTTAAAAATTGTTTTAAAGCCTTAATTGGTGAGCCCGTGGGGCCCACCTTTTTTTTTTTTTTTTTTTTGTGTGTTTTCCGGTCTCTTTCTCTCCTATCTCAGTTCTTTGTCTTCCTCTCACCCGAGCTCTCTCTCCCTCGTCTCTCTCTTTCTCGTCCTCTTATGAGCTCATACCCATCACCACACCACCCTCTCCGACGTCAACGGAGTCATCATCATCATCATCATCATCATCATCATCATCAGTTCGTTCTCTCTCTCTCAGTTACTGCAAGGACAACAAAACCCGGACAGCTCCGACGCAGACCGCCACTTTTGAGGAAATTTGCGGCCAAACCACGGTGAGTTGGCAGGCGTGCAAGGTATCATTCTCTTTGTCTCCCTGAGTACTACAACTTTCTTTTTTGTTTCACTCAATTTCGTTGAGTATTGAAGACGTTATACTCATTTGAATCTTACCCAGTTTTCGACGACCTTCGAGGCTTTCGAGGCATTTTCCGACCAAACCACCGCGAGTTAGACATCATGTGAGGTACCATTCTATTCGTCTCTTCGAGGGCTACAACTTTCGTTCTTGTTTCACTTGATTTCGTTGAGTTTTGACAAAGTTATGGCCGTTTAAAGGTTGTGCAGTTTCCGGCCGAATTTCCGGCCTTCTTCATCCTTGGGTCCGACGACCCACCAAACCCAAGGCCTTTGGGCCTTCCCTACCGAGCCCAACCCTTTTGGTTGTGAGGCCTTTGGGGCATGAGTGTGTGTGTGTGTGTGTGTGTGTGTGTGTGTGTGTGTTTGTGTAGTATGTGAGTGTGTGTGTGTTGTGTGTGGGTTTGGGCCTAAGCCCAAACCACCCCTTTTCACCCTAAACCTTTTTAACCAAAAACCTTAGGATCCTAAAACCAAAACCCAATAGATCCTAACCTTATTTAAACCTAAACCCTAATCCGGATTCAAGCCTAAAACCCGTTTGACCTAATTTGACTGTTGACCCCCGATCAACGTTGACTTTAGAGTTGACTTTTCGGGTTTTCGTCTGGGACTCTTCTTAGGGTAATTCGACGTCCTGAACCCATTTCCAATGTTCGTTTTCTCAAATTCAATTTCTATTATATAGTTTTATTTATTGGACTCTTTATGTGCTTAGGGGCAATTATTGTGACGTTTCTGTCTTCGCTAGTGGCGCAGTTTTTGGTGGTTAAGTACTGTGAGTGGACCCCTTCTAAAATTACATAATTTTATAGTTTAATTTCATAAATGATTAGCATGCCTACGAGTTTATGATTTGATTTATGTTAAGCCTGATTACTGAATATATTGATTTTCGTCTAGTGTTTTTGGTGAGGAATTAATTGTTGGCCTATATTGAGCTATATTTTAATATATCGTATTTTCTATAAAAACCATGATCTGATAGACTATGTGATGGATGACGGTAGGATGCTAGAACATGTTTTAGAAACCCCTCTTTATAATATAGACGATGGATGACTTTATACTATGAAGTGGTTATTTATGAGAGGCGTAAACTATTTGTGGGTACCTAGAGGACACTATGCCGCCTGGGGCGAGGAACTGGTGTTGGCATTTAGGCCGGGAGAAATAATCCCTAGCTAAGGGTTGAGGGACATGGAGCAGGCATTGGGCCGGGAGTTGGTAATCTCTGGCTACGGGCGCAGAGACCACGGAGTAGGTATTGGGCCGAGAGTTATATTTATTCAGTGATCTTTTTAGCAGCACACCGCACTTACGAGACGATCTATGATACGTTTACTATTTTGAATTCCGCGATATGACTTTTGAGATATTTTTGGCATGCTAGGATTTTTATTAAATCCTTCATTTACTATGCTAGTAGTTTTCACTATTAAACTGTGGGGGTTAGTACATTGATAATTGTTTTATTATTATTGTATATATGAACTTGGTCCACTCACCTTTGTTTTGCGCCCCCATTCAGGACTTAGGATTAAGACACCTAATCCCGGCGTCAAGACACTTCTGCAGCAGCATCTTTGAATCCTCTCGATGTGTGACCCATTTCTTTATTCATTCAATTTTATCTTAATTCTTTTTGGTGATTAGGTTTAGTTGTATGCTCTGAATACGTTCCTAAATTATTAATTCATTGTATTTAAATTCATAACCCTTATTTATTTCTTATTCTTAGCTTTTGTATCAATTAATGGTTTTCGTCACTCTCGGGTGTCGGCCAGCACATGTATATCCTGGTATTCGGAGAATATTAGGGTCGGGGCGTGTCAACACTCGTGTTTTATATTTTCTCTCAAATTAAAGATATAAAAATTAATCAAAAGACGTAAATAAACAGATGCGTCCAAAGGAGAACAATATGTGCAAAAACAAGACAATTTTTCATTTTCTTTGTGCAGCCACCCATATGCATGGTATGTTGTTTGTTGCAATAAGTCTGAGGAGACTTAACCAGCACATGACAAGCTACAATGTCACACCGCACGCCATGGATGACCGAAAGCAACCTGATGGCGAAGTTCATCACATGCAGTCGATCCAATTGTTTTTTTATTTTATTTTTTATAACAAAATGTTTTAGGATAATGCCGTACCGTCCTGTATTTTGAGCACATTGAAAAATCTCTCTCTTCTTAGATCAGGCATGCCACAAGTTTGTTTAATGACTTACAGAGGAGGTGTCAACCTATTTTTTTAGTTTTTAAGATTACTTACCGAAAGAGATTGTCGTCAGTGGGACTGGTACCTATGCCTCAACCAACTCTCAGGGACCAATCTACTTGTTTATATGACTGACTTGCCAAATATATAAATAATAAAATGGATAATAAGTTTTTTTTTTTTTTTTCCAATGCTTCCAATGCCAATTGCCAAACATGTTGTCAATCCAATCCATTACTATATGTGTTCAATCACGTAGACATAGTTATGCCTCCCACCTCTTTTTTGGGGCCATCAATTGTTCCAAGAACGCAATAATTTTATAAGATAGAAAACAAATCTCCATAGTTTGCCATAATAATAATTGTAATTTACACTTGAAAAAATAAGTATGCATTCTAAACATTCTGTATTTAGAAAAAAAAATATTCTTACATACCATGATACGCTACATTTTTGGTAATCGTTTTGATTCTAAGATCTTAATTTAGCAGAATATTCGTAATTGGATACTAATTTAGGCACTCTCAATACACGTTGGCGATAGGGTTCAGTTGCCATCACATCAGATACTTGTTCCGAAAAAGATGATTATTCCCCTTCAACTATGCTCCAAACCTTGATTAATACGTGCTTAAAGGCAACAAAGCACTATCTAATTCGTAGTAGTCAACCAGAACAAATCTCAATCATGATAGTCATCCAACTTTCGGCTGATGGGAAACTAGAAAGATTAACATTCTGTGGAGCCCTTTTATCAACCTTGCCTACTTGTAATTACCCCCACATAACCTTGATTAATATCCCTCGAAGATGAACTACAACCTCACCTTTTATTTTTATTCCCTTAATCATAAGGGCTATTGTTCACGGAGAGTACTAAAATGTAATAATCAAGGACAAGTACTTCTCAGAAAGTTAGGGGTGTATTTAATTGAAATTTTGAGTGAATTCACTCAAAATTTAACAAGAGAAGTCGAATTTGTCAAATTTCTAATGTAGGGTATGAAATTTCCCTAAATCCATCAAATCATTCATTTTAAAATAAATATTGATAATACACTTGGACTCAGTGCTCTTTAAAAATCTTTAATTGATACACCCGAATTCATATATTTTATAACTCTTTTAAAATTTCCCAGAACTTTCATAGACCCAAAAAAGAAAATAATTAATATTAAATTTCTATTGTCACATTTTTTGAAAAAATAAAGAGAAAGGCTAAGGACATTATGTAGAACTTTCCATGAACTCTCTATGATCTTATGTTTTTAAGACATTATTTTATAATGTTAGCGTAAAAATCATTGTAAAGTAACATATCCCCTTAACATTTCTCCAAAAAAAATGATAGTAACTTGAGGAAGAGGGCAAGCAAAGGAGGCAAGAGGGAAGAGGTCGCGTTGGTTACAAGCAAAACGAAAGAAGCTTCTGGGATCCTTCGGGGTTCAAATTGCAAAACGCGAATAATGCGCGCAACGGTATTTATTTTTGGAGGGTGGAAATCGAATCCCCCAAAAGATACATGCTTTTTTAGGCCCCCCATCCATGGCCGTCCTCCTCATCCTCCAACTCTAAATATATTCTCAGAGACGCATCACAAAATACATACACGCATTGTTTGTACTACGTAACTGACGCTTTCACAAAGACAACATATATGAGGTTGTCCCTTAAGCACAACCCACGACAAGTAATCCGAGGTGGTTGTGGTGGGGTCTTTGAGTCCGAGGATCACTCCCCACTACCTGTAGTTCCGTTAACTTTTCCATCCTCCTCCTCCTCCTCCTCCTCCTCCTCGTCCCGAATGCCAGCGCATCTTTCGAGAGTCCGGTCATTATTTCTTTCAATCCAATCGACGTCAAGAAAAAGCAGTTTTGTTTTTTTTGTTGTGCCCATTGTTTTTGGCCTTGGTTTCCGGCAAAAGGCAGGCGGGCAGTTGTATAGCATTTTTAGATATTGTGGGTTGCTCTGCCTCCTCTGTCTGCTGTGGCGGCGGCGGCAGTGAAATTTTTACGTGTTTATTTAATGGTGGGAAAGTTGAGAGAACAATAAGACGATGACGATGACGAAGACGAAGGGAAGGATTTCGAGAATTGGAAGCTACGCAATTGCGTCTTCCAAACGAGACGGCCACCACCAACAGCCCTGCATTACCTGCACCACTTTCAACATCCTCGCTCCAATTTACAAGCGCCTCAACCATGACGTTAGCATTTCTCTCTCTCTCTCTCTCTCTCTCTCTCTCTCTCTCTATATATATATATATATATATGGTTGTAAAGCTTTGAGCTTTTTGGTGATGGGTTTTGTTGGTTTTGTATGAATGGTTGTTCATTTTCATTTGTTTGGTCAAAAGCTTATGCCTTTTGAGTTTGTAGCCAATTATTTCTAATGGGAAATCTTAGTTTTGAATTTCATGGTAAACCTTGGAAGTTTGATCCATTTTTCTACCATTTGGTAATGGAGTTTGTTAATCTTAAGCTTCTCCTTTGTGATGTTCAGGACCCCGATTGTCGGGAAAGCGATTACAGAGCCTATTGGCTGGCCAGGAATCAAAGGATATTGGATTGTTTGTTGGCTGAGAGATCCTCTATCATTTGTCTTCAGGTTTGCATTTCTTAAAACCTTTTGAAAGCATTAGGGATGGGAGTTGGAGTTGCTACACAATTTTTTTGTGGTGTTTATACCTCTCTCTGATTGCCACAGGAGTTCTGGGTCGGCAACGAAGAGCTTGTTAACATTTACGAGAAGAGACTTGGGGATGCTGGTTATATCAATCTCAAACTAGGACGAACCAACAACCGCGGCGACGGTACCATCATCAATTCCTTTAATCTAGATTCGAGAAAACGAATAAGAAAGAAAGCAGATGGGGAGATGGGGAAAGATTAACGAAATAAGTTAATTTGCGATTTTGAATGGAACGAAGAGTCTGTTTTGTTGGGGTATATGATGGAAACTGCTTATCCTGTTTTTATAGACACATTAAACACTGTCGTCATAAGGTGTTTCTCTCTCTGCCGGTGTTCAGGTTTGCTGACCGCGGTGCATAAAGACTACTTCAGAGTTGTAAACTATGTAGAGTTGCACTTCAATGATTGTGGTGATCGTGTTGCTCAGTTGTTACATGTGGAATTAGCTGCCCCAATTTCGCAGTTTCGAAACAATGATATTCGGCAGGAAATTCTCATTGTGAACACCCACTTGTTATTTCCTCATGACTCGAGTTTGTGTATAGTTCGACTGCATCAGGTAGCTTCACTCTCGATTTCATACTCTTCCCTTGTTTCTACACACTGATAACATTTTCTTAGTGATAACATTTTGTCGGTTTCTCCTTGTAGGTCTACAAAATCCTTCAACATGTAGAATCTTATCAGAAAGATAACAAGCTTAATCCCATGCCGATTATACTCTGCGGGTATTTCTAATGCCTTACATTTTATATTTTTTTTCCCTAGTGTTCAAATTGCAGCCATTTGTAATATTTTGTTTCAATCTGTTCTTTCTTCAGTGACTGGAATGGAAGCAAAAGTGGACATGTTTACAAGTTTCTTCGGTCCCAGGGGTTCGTATCTTCTTACGATACTGCTCATCATTACACCGATGCAGATGCACATAAGGTCAGTATCTTCAACTTAAACACCTACAATTTCGTTTTTGTATGCTTGTAACTCATGTATTTCATATTTTTTTTATGCAGTGGGTTAGCCACAGAAATCATCGGGGAAACATATGCGGCGTTGATTTTATATGGCTTCTCAATCCTAATAGGTACCGTAAGCTACTAAAAACTAGTTGGACCGAAGCAGTATTTGGCATGTTCAAGGTTAGCAATACATGTTCATTGGCTGTATACTTTTTTCAGCCACATTGCTGTCTGTTCTGTTTCTAATGGGATAAATTTTCACAATTCAGTACCAACTACGAAGAGCTTCGCTGACAGAGGCTGATGCCTTTGCCTTTCTAAAGGCTGATAATCCTGGTGATTACATAACCTATTCAGGTTTCTGTGAAGCACTTCGACAGGTTCGATATCAATTAAAACTGAGATTTTCTCCTAATCTTTTCTCTTGTTCTGAATCTTTGCCTCTTAGTAAATTTTCCAATTGGTTAATTTCTATGTTACACAGCTTAACATGACGGGTCATTGCCATGGACTTAGCCTCGAAGAGACAAAGGAGTTGTGGGTTCAAGCAGACATAGATGGGAACGGCCTTCTTGATAGTATAGAATTTCAGGTGAGTTATTTTCACCAACTATTTCTCATTGTTATTAGTCTAATATACACCACGGAGATTGATTAGTAGTACAGGGGGTTTAAGCTTTTATGTAGGAAAATGCTTTTGCTTTCCAGTGTCAATGGGCTTAGGTTGTTCGCGTTTGTGGATTGTTACCCCTGCAATTTGGTTTAGAAAACTTAGCAGTTCAAACTTTAAATCTGTTTTTCAGCACCATTAGACAGTTTTATAACGTTTATGCTACGACTAATGGCATTGCAGCAGCGAATTTGGTATCCTACGGGGTCAGAGCAGAAGGATGAAAGTGGTAGTGACTGTGACAGTGATTCCAAGGGTATTCAGGAACAAACAATTGGTTTCAGTGTAAAAAACGCGGTGTTCTTCCCTCCTGAAGTGGAGAAAGGAACGTGGCCCAAAGACTACTCTCTTTCCGATCATGCACGACTCACAGTGGTTTTCTCACCAATAAGAATGCCTTGCTCTCAGCTGATTCCCTGACAACCGCAAGCTCAGAAGAACTTTGGTTTGAGGCTTTGTTACATAACGAACCAAAAACTTGTAAACGGGAAATGGTCAAGGGTTACAGCCAGACCGTGCGGAATGGATGTAAACCAGTTTTCTTCAGCAAAGAGAGTGAAAATAACTTCGATCGGCATTCCTCCTTTTTAACTGTGCCTGTTCGAAGCTCAGTATTTCGTATCCAAGCGGACAAACATCAGGAAACTGGCCTTTGATCTACAAGTTTGCAACCGAATAACCGAACTAGCGTCCGGATTACACATTTGGCCTTTCCATTGTGCCCATTGATGTGGGGAAAAAAAGAAGGAAGCTAAGAAGGAAGAAAGAGATGTATAGCTGCTGTGCATGTGTAAAAATCCTAGAGTTCTATAGCTGTCTGTGCATATATATGTAGGCTTGCAACTATCCCCTACTTGTAATTTTGTAGCAATGGTGAGATGGACCAAATTAGAAGCCTTTTTGTAGCTAACTTTTTCTAATGTTCTGACAAAGCGATACTCTAACTTACTCTAACACGAAGAGGGATACGAGCTCAGGTATAATGAGGTGAATACACTGTCATAACCAACTGACCGAACTTATGTTTGCATGATAATCATAAAATAAAGGTAGATTAATTGTTTAACTTTATTGTTTGTGACCTTTTAGTATAGGCTTACTTTAGTTGGCTAAAGCAATACGCTACTTCCTCTAAACTCAAGTTTGAAAACGTCATAATCAACTGGCCAAACTTATGTCTGCATGACAATCATAAAATAAGTGTGGATTAATTGTTCGACTTTACCGTTTGTGACCTTTTAGTATAGACATAGTCGAGTTGGCTAAAACAATATGTTATTACCTCTAAACTCAAATTCAAAACGTCTTGTTTTGGACTATGATTCTAGAACAAAAGTTACTTTTGTTTTGAAATTGCAATTTGAGTTGGTTTCTCTGTCTGTGTGTTCTGTGAATTTGTTTTGAGAACAAAAGTTACATTGGTTTTGAAATGGCATGCTTGATTCATTCAAAAGTAGGAAAAATTGGGATTTTTGCAGTGAATTTGTCCTATTTTGGTTCAATGGTTTGGGCAATATGGAGAGCAATTTGGGAATTTGTTACCAAAACATTGATGGATAACATGTATATTATTATTTTTTTTTTTACGTAAATGTTGAATGTCTAATGCCTTATCATTTTGGTTTTTAACATGCCATTGTTTATCTATATCCAAAATGAGTCTGAATCTTTTCAAATAAATGTTACATTCTGATTTCAGAAACTGTAATTCACTTTTTATTGATCTTTTCCTATATATTTGATTTACAGAGCTCTTGGGTTGTCAATTTTGACTGAAAATTCTACTCCTCACATGGATCATAGGTAAAAAACACTATTTTCTTTTGTTATTACTTTTTCCTTCAAATGTGTTTTATTCTAATTGTCTCTTTATATATTGTAAATTTCCAGCACTTATGCAAACTTCAGAGCATATAGGAAAGCAAATGTTTTTTATTTTAGGTACAAAGAGCCAAATATGTTATCTATGTCTTTAATGAAATGGTTTAGTGTTATTGCTTTTCATTGTTTAGTTTTAACTGATGTTTGGATGCTTATATATTCTTCGTTTTGTTTTTTTGAACATGAACGGATAATCATATTGGAATAGATTATATTTTTTTAGTTCATTTTGCTCATCAGTTTATCTTCTTTAAACCAAATGCAAATTCCAATCTTTGCATTGTTAAGCTATGAAATTACAACAAAAAAACTTGCATGAAATTGAAGTTTTCTCTGATTGAGAACTCATTTTTCTTCAACTTGATGTTTTCTCGGATTAATTTCTGAATAATTTAGAAATGGTTGTTAAATTGTGTTACGATTTCAAAACCTACGGCGGAGCGCGGGCATTTTTTCTTTTATTTACTAAAATGGTGAGGAAATCATTATGTTGATGCACAAAATTAGTGGGGACTTTGGTACAACAGAAAGTGTCAAATTTGTGACCTTCGCTAGATTGCTTCAGTCACTAGTGTGGATAAGTATATAAATGGATAGAGACAGGGAAGCAAACACAAGATGTACGTGGTTCACCCAGATTGGCTACGTCCACGGAGTAGAGGAGTTCTCATTAATTATGAAGGGTTTACACAAGTACATAGGTTCAAGCTCTCCTTTAGTGAGTACAAGTGAATGATTTAGTACAAATGACATTAGGAAATATTGTGAGAGAATGATCTCTATTTATAGAAGAGAGTTTCTAGTTTCATTCTAACATTGACAAGTGTCATGTTGTGATTGGCTTCTGATGTTGACATGTGTCGCACTATGATTGGCTTCTGATTTCGACATGTGTCGCACTGTGATTGGCCTCCTGGTTGGAGGGAAACTCTTCTGGGTCCTTGACGGTATAATGTTGACTGGTGCTCAGTAGTTTCGGGATTGGTCAAGTATGGTACAAACAGTGCTCCCCTAAGTTCCCGAGTGAGGGAAGCTCCTCGGTTAGAGACTTGCAAGATCAAGCCAATTGCAGTAATCCATACGACAACTGTTCTTGTAGCTCCGAATGTTTGTGTTTTTTCCTTTAGTGGTTTAATTTTGTTCGATTTTGCCTTTATTTCAGTCCAGATTATTGTAGATGATTTTTGGGCAATACTTTCTGGTGATTACTGTTCTTTTCTCATACGAGGTTTTGAGATTCTAGTTTGTGATTATCATTTAAGCCTGCGTATGAAGTATGGAGCACAAGTGGTTAATGTATCAATTTCAATTGAAGTTCTCTTTACTTGTTAAGTTCAGGCTTTGATCAAGTTGCGATATACAACCTATATATAATATATGTACAAAGTGCCTTCGAAGTGACGAGCTAAGAGTAGTATTTTGCGAAATAGACTAAATCACTATGTGCTATAGCAGAATCAACGGTAAGCAACTCCAGACAGCTTCTCAAGCAAAGCAACTTGGTGTTTGGGGAGAGGTCTCTCGAACTTCGAACTTAAGCGTGATTAGATTAATTGTTCTACCATTCTCTCTATTGTGTCGTAAACAGCAAAAAAGTGATAAAGAGATTGCGACATGCGATAAAGATGATGGAGAACTTTTGAATATAAGTTGGAAGGAATATAGTTGAAACTTTCCACAGGCTTATTCTTCGAACTCGGCCTGGAGGAGTTTTCTCTAGGTTTCTCACAGTAGCCAAAGTATAACCTTGAAGGCCCCGAGAACTTCAACCGCAGTGATATACGCGGTCAAAAACTCGTCCATCAAATCATAGAAGTAATGTTCGACGCCTGATGGTCTGGGATACTTTTGAATTATAGTAACAAAGATAATCGCCTCAATCCCATGCTATTCTGGCATCAATGTCGTATCTGTTAAACGTAATCCATGATCACACATCTCCCTTCAATTTCGTCTCATCCATATCTCACAATTGCCACTCATCTCGATATCCCTTAAGGTAGAATTGGTTGGTCAACTTTTCTAGGTAAGCTTAAGATCGCTTGAAGGATAGCTAATCTCCAAGAGACGAATAATCAGACTCTAAAAAGATTTAAACTTCCTGGCAAGGTTGGGTTCATGAGGCATTCTCTCCAATGAATGAAAGCTTATTCCATATGGTGACAGATCGATTCTATGTCTTTTTTTTCTTTACCCTATGTCTGCTATACCGCGCTTTAAAACACCTTAATGCAACATTGGAAGCTAGACAGTGAGGAAAAATAGTCTATATGATATGAGATACTCTTGCCTTTTTTCTTCACTCCCTGTCATCAGAATTAGAAGAAATACATTTTGCTGTTGTCGTTGCATGGCTATATTTGCAAGTAAGAACAATTATAGGTAGTTGTTCGGAGAGAATAATGAAAGCTAGAAAGTGTATTTTGATCTAGAGAAGACTCATGCTGAGAGTGCCCTCTCGATGGTGAATATTACAAGATTTGGATGTAACTTTTTGTTTTGCTCAAGTTAGCGGATCCTCGCCTGCGATTGTGATGGCATTGATCGAGGTTGACATATATAGGAGTGCTATTTCTATTGTCATCAACAAGAAGTGTCCTTATTTCGTGCTTGCAGATAGACTAGCCAATGTAGTGGGGATTACTTGCAAGCTTTCACGATGTTTTTTTACATTTGTCCATAAGACACTTTTAGAAAAATTGGCTACGGTATGTAGGTGCTACTCTGGAAAGTCTTGATGTTGTGTGTGTTAAGATTGCAAACAAGCTTTTATCAAAGGAAATTTTGTGACTCTCGAGTTCGGAGCTAGTGTTTTGCCTTTGCTTCGTTTCTTTGAACAAGCATCCATGCTCAGAGAGGAGTCTTGGGCTCTCTCGAGATTCCAGAGAACGGTAATACCAGCCACAACAATTCTTTTAGGCATCTCATGACCCTCCTTCCGATTTTTGAGAAAGTGATCTCTGTCCCTGAGGTGAAATTTTTGAGAGATGCTAACTCGAGTCTCCAAGAAACGTGTCTCTAACTTCGGACTCATTTTAGATAAAGTAATCCTCGGTGAGTGATGTGCTTTTCCTTCGTCGGAAATGATGAGAACAACAGTTTAGGCATTTTGTCCAGTCTGCCTTGCGCATGTGAGCACGATGAGGTCTCGAACACAACACTTGGACTTATCGATTATCACGTAAGTGCTGTTCCTTTACCCTTTGTGTTGTGGTAATTAGTATGGTAGTTTGGTCTTTCAATTTTGATTGTGTCTAACTTTGTCAAGACATCTTTGGCTCAAATTATCAGATTTGTGCTTTGCTACCCGAATGAGCGCTAGATGTTGTGTTGTGGATAAAATGTGTGCCACTATATCGGTAATATCTCTCGAGGACGTAGTGGGTCTGTCTCGGTCATTTCGCGATTTTTTGACTTAATAAACGGTTGAAACGCCCTGTTTGCGCCCTTTCATTCTGTTTTTCGTGATTTTACCTGTAAGGCCTTACAATTGTCGTGTGCAAGAATAGCTATACGTGCTACAGAGTAGGATTATTTATCTAGTGTATCGGAAGTTATATATACACGTCTACTTCTGCAGGAAAGGTTTATCTTGTCTGGCTCTTATTGTTCCTACCTTCATCCATTCATAAGAACGATAAATAATAACTTCGCCCATTAAGGGGACCACCATAGAGGGAACCGTCATATTTGAAGCTTTGGACATTTTGCCTGTTTGTTGAGAGGCGTAGCAAAATTGTCTCAATATTCTATAAGAACAAACAATTTATTCAGGGACGCCCAATCTTTCTTATCTCTCTCTGTGGGTTTATCTACGTTGGGGACTCTTGGATGAAGACAATGCCTTATGACCTGATATATTGCAACAAGAGTTGGCCAAGAACTTTGTGTTCATGCACAATAGTATAACAAGAACTAATCTTCAATACCAAAACCGCGCCTCTATTGTAATGAATCGAGTTTGGCTTTGTTAAGAGGCAGTTCTTTTTTTTTCCTGGCTCTCAGTGTATTCGCGCATGTGATTGAAGC